GCCAAGGAATGAAGTGCTCTTCGCCGAAGCATAGCCTTGTGCGAAGGACTCTTAAACAGTGGACTCTGTCAGTGTAACAATTTTTGAGCTCAATTCTTAGTCCTATTCATTCCTATCTGGCAGAGTCCACTGTTTAAGAGGCCTTCGCACAAGGCTATGCTTCGGCGAAGAGCACTTCATTCTTTGGCGAAACGTGCTTCTCAGTCGTTTGAGACGGTGAAGGAGAGAATATTCATTTGTTCAGCGCTCTCCCCTAGAGCAAAGCTGCCATGTATTTGCCAAGCTGACCAAAAAAACGTGGGAAATGTCCGTAGGAACGCACTATCGTTTTTCATCCATTCACCTTTTTAGATGCAACAAAACTTTTATTCATAGATCAATATTTCTTCTAAACAAGGTAATCTCGACGTCGCTTCCCATAACCATTTTTGCTGATGCCCGGATGAACTAGTCCTTCCAGTCATCGCTCGAAACCATTCCCTACCGAACTGCGGAATCTGTCCTACTTCTACAGTAGCGGCCAAAAGTGTTCGCCGAAACGGTTTTCCGTGCTTCTCTTTTTTGCCAGAAAAAAATGGTGACCTCGAAATTTTTCTTTGAATATCCTGATTCTTTAAGACTTGAGGATATAAAAACACTAGAAAACATAGTATATCAATCTTTGGAGGGCGTTGCTCAAGCGAGAAAAAATAATGCACTAAAAATCGTTTCGGCGAACACTTTTGACCGCTACTGTAACTGTGTTTGTGACCTCTCCACCACCAGCCGTGAATCTAAAGGTTCTCTGGAGTAGCCTCCCAATTCAGTTCTTGCGTTAAAGATGATGTGGCACCCATCAGGAAAAATTCCGACTGGTTTATCCCTCGTCGTTACCGCCGCTAGCAATTCGTCGGCAGGCCGACAATACAGAAGCATATTCCACTGCCCACCTTCTTTTCCGTTTCCTTACCTTCTCTGAGCAGGAAGGCCTTTCAGGGCGTACGAAGCCTCTTTGAAACGGTTTTTCGCACAAACAGAGGTTCATGCAATAACTATTGATTCATGATCCTTTTTTTCTAACTGGCCCCTGAACAATAAAAGGGTTGATGAAGTGGTCCGTGGTTCGATTACTCCTGGTGACAAACTTGTGCATTTGGGACTGACGTTTCAAAATTCGCACGAAAATGGCGTAAGCAGCAGGAATGGGTGTCATATTCATAATTGGACCATCAGTAACCCTTACAGTCAATCTTTGATCAGAAAAACTGGTGAAGAAATGGGGAGACGTTCATTCTCCTCCTGGGGTCAGGTCACCACAGCTGCGCGATCATTGAAGCCTTAAGGTTAAGCTTGGGTTTAGACTTAGGTTTAGGCTTATGCTTACACATTGGCTTATGCTTAAGCCTATGATTGGGCCTAGGCTTAGTCCTAAGCTTGCTTCGAGCGAATGAGTGGTGTCTCAATTTTAGGTGACCTGACCTGAGGAGGAGAACTGCAACGCACCCAAAAAAAATGCTTTGACACCAAAACGGTACCCAAAGTGGCTCAAATCGCCATAGTCATAGTCGAATGGTTATAGTGACGTCAGATGGTATCCGTGCCAAAAAAAAGAACGCCATATCCGCAATCAGAACACTGGATTACTTTTACCATCGATGTTTCAAAAAATGGAGATTTTGACCCAACCTCGAAATTTCTGCATGGTTTGCAGTCCGTAAGGCTCACTGGTGGTGGACCATGGAGGCGGTCTCTTCGTCATCGTACTCATTAGATGACCCGAGCTAGCCCCTTCTTTTGAAGGTTTACGGACTACTTGATTTTTCCTCAATGGTCCTGCCGCGATGGCTAGAGCACAGACGATTAGAGAACGGGTGAATGCCCTAGGACTAAGCCTTGGAGAGGAGAGGGACCCGCGAGAGAGCGCAG